TTTCTTTTCATTAAAAAACGGAGGGGAGTTTCCGGTATACCTAATAATAATGAACGTGAACAATGAAAAAAGATATATGTAGGTCGGTCCAGGGAGTACCTAAATAGAGTCAAAGGCAGCGGACATCCGCGAGGACCTCACCCTATATCACAGCGGGTTGCGGTAAGTACGAGGGATACGGAGCTTCCTGTCGCCCCCTTGGGAGAGAGGACTGCTCCGTAGCGCTGAACTCCAGCCTGGACGAGATATGCAGAAATTAAATATTCATTTGGGCTAGCAACCTTGGGTCTCCTTCGCCTTCCGGCCGGCATTCTCTCCCTCGCCAGCCCTCGGTCCGTCACACGGCCGCGGCACGCCCTCACTTTCGTTCCCTCGAAAATAACGCGTTGGCCTGGGGCCAGTTTCGCTGAAGGCTTTCGATGTTCAGTCCCCTTCAACCCCTCGTTCCGAGGCAAGGAAAAAAGATGGCGAACCTGCCCTCCTGTTGTGTACCCTCGCCTCCGCGTAAAGTAACCCTATTCACTCACGCTTCTTCAACTTCTTCTTTTGTTCCTCGCTCTCCCCCAACGTTAATTCTCGCGACTTACCCTACTCCATCCGACTCACCCTACACCAGCCGAAACGGCGTATCGTTTCTGCGAAATGTACCTGTTGAACCGGCCGACCGGCCGGGTTCGATGAAATAATGACGACCAGTTTATGCACCATTCGCCGCGTTAGGAATTGCTCTGTAGGTGCGTCAGCTCTCAGCGGGCTTAAAATGGTTCCGAAATATTATCAGCTTATTTTAAGCGTGGCGAGTTCTGATTTGAGGTAGTGCAGAATTCATGTAAGAGTTAATTCTGAAACCGTTCCGGGACAGATGTAGACTAATGAAACGACGACGACTAGGGATTGATGTGTGAACTGAAATTGGAACTACATTCGTGACAGATCGTAATTTGGAATTTTGCTTCTTGATTCAGTTAAGGTTATTCAGAATTCAGGATTCTGTTGAATTATCCACAATCATTAGAAACAATCAAATTCCTTTATAGTTTCTTGCGTTTTTATTTGATTTGTCGACAAAGAAGCAACGTCGTTCTTCTAGAGAAGTATATTGCATTGTGAACAGGAAAATGGTTGTTTTAATCGTAACCGCTTTAATTCTTTCGCTGCCATGAGTGTGTATATGTATATACTTGTGTATGAGTATCTGTAAGTACTAAAGTGTCATCTGCAGTGAAAGAGTTTTTCTACAGTTTTAAGGTAGACTTATAGGATCAAAACTGTTACATGTACAAACTGCTCATGACAATCTTTGAAAATACATCAACTTGTTTTCTGGAAATTTTCTAATAAAAAAATTAGGGTCACTCGGAATTTTCCACATCTTTTCTGCCTCTAACAATATGTAGTAAATATTGCAATTAACAGAAGGTAGCACAGTATTCATTACCGAAAGAATTAATTTTATTCCAATATTTACTTGTTTCGACAACTTTTAGTTTAACCATTTATGCTGTCATAATTATGTCATAAAATAGTAACACATCAGTTTTTCCCAAATGTTCCTAAATAAATGATTAAACAGCATGCGATTCTGCAGAGATTCGATTATGTCTAAAATATAATATTTACTACAGGCTAAATATGCATAAGGTTTTAAAAATTATGCGCGATTACAACTAAAGATTCCAACAAAAACAACTACAAATAACAATATATTTAACTTTGGCTAATGACAATGACAAGCTTCACAATGAAAAACCAAAAGCACTTCTTTGACGTTTGCGGCAACAGTAAAATAAAATAAAATAAGCACACCTTGCTAGAGAACGCTGAAAACAATATAAATATAAACATATAAAGTTGGTTATGTACAATCATAAATATACGTCTGACCCTGGAGTTACACGGACTTGTTTTACGCGAGTCCTTTTTGCATGGTAAATTAGAACACTACTTATACAATAGGTTTTTATGCGCGATCTTAATTTACACGATCTAAATTCCGTAAATGACACAGAATAGAATATTCTTTTGTTTTTGCAATATCATTATTATTATTTCTTGTATTTGGCTATGTGAAATAAATATGTATTTCTGAAACTTATATCAGTTTTTCTTTCCAATATTTTATTTTCTTTCATACCGACAGACTCTATTTGCGCGATTTTCATTCACGTAAAACGAATCCACGTCGAACAGATTTTCGCGTAAATCAAAGGTGAGGTATAATATATGCGAACAACATTACACAATAAGGTATAGATAACTAAATAAAAATAGTAGTAGTATAAAATAAATGCAGAGAACTGCAATCGATAGTACCGTTAGATGAAAAATGCGCACAGAAAAATGCACATAAACGAAATCGTTCAAAAAAACAGCGCACATGTGAAGAATTGCACAATGTAAGATACGCTCAGTGCATAAGCCACGCATATATGAATTATACAATTATAAAGCAACAATGTAGGCCATACTCCCTCCTCGCGAAGAAACTAGCCCCATCTATGGCAATCTTTATTATACAGATAGATCTCTTCTGGATGCACAGTAGCAGCAGTCGTTAACACTTATAATAAATTACCAGAAAACTGTTGTATTTAAGGAGAATTTCAAAACAATAAGTAAACGTTTGTTTGCAATAGTTCAATAAATATGCGGAACCCCTCTTCTACCCTCGCTTTTGCTTTACAATTGTACAATTCATATATACACAGGTTATGAATTCTGCGTATTTTACATTGCACGCTTTTTTCTATTTGTGCTTGTTTCTATTTACCGATATTGCAATAGTTTTTGAGCCCCGGTTCTCGGTATCCCCGCTGCGATCTGGTCCATTCCCAGTCTCGAACGGAACCTGCACAACCTGGATTCCTCAGGTGCACGCGGATGTTATCCCGTGATGTTGTTGCACAACATACGTACCTACGTATCCTCCCGGCGGTTGATGAAGTGTTCTCTCGACGGGGAATTGCCGGCGCTTCCTTTTGCGCGAACGCATCCTCCAGGGCGGTTAGACGCGCGGCAGGGGGAGGGGAGGAGGATAAAAGGATTTGTTCTGGAGCTTTCCGGAACACTAGCGGCGCCAGGGACCGAAGGGCGGAGGGGAGCCGAATGAAATTTGAATATCGTCGTTGTTGCCGTCCCGGAGTTCCGCGGGTCGAAAGCGTTGCGATGTGCGGTCGGGTTAGGGAATACTTTGTGCCTTAATCGTTGTATAAATAGTCATTAGACGTTGGGCTAAATATTGTCTGGAATAGTGTGCGCGCGCGACCGTTTTCCGCGTGGAACGCAATTTAATCCTGGGGCTACCACTCGTGCGGAAAATTAGCTGTTAATTATTTTTGAATAATGCACAGACACGCGGATAAATTTCCCTCGCGACTTTTCTGTTTTTATTGTAATGATACGCTTAATTTGATTTAACGGGAGACGATTATTAAAGCAAAATGCTAATTCGAGGTGGAGTTGGTTCGAGGGTTTTTGTTGCTTTTGTCTCTTGTGGTATTATTGTTGCTTCAGTCTGTTGGATTGGATGGATTGTTAATGCGGATATAATGGAGATAATGTGAGATTACTGGGTCGTGGATGTTCTTGGGAATTCCGGTTTTTAGTGGGCTATTTGGAGAAAATGGAACTATATTGAAGATTGCTTTCTGTAAGGATAGCCTTGATAGATAACAAGTTTTCTTATTGTATATTCAATTTTGCTGAAATTTATATTTTATAATTTTTTGAAAATCCTAATCGCTATGAGTTTGTATAAATACACTGTATAATCGTTATTGTATTATTAAACTCTATTAAATTAAGTACTGTGAAATTTTGTTTTACCATTTTTCAGAAAACTTTAACCGTTATAATTTTATGAAGATATAAAATACCTTATTATATCTTCATTATTATTATGCTGTAACAGCAATATATTTTATTGCTTTATTAAACTTACAAAATAAATTTAGTTCATACACACTCTCATTTTCAAATAATGTTACTTACTATCTTCAGTGAAAAATTTATGTCTTACTTATTGATGACTTCCATTTAATTAAAAAAGTCTCTAATTTTCATAGTAAAAACAAAAATTCAATATTCCACTGAAATTTAATAATTTACTCTAAAAGTGTTCGATTTTTGTTATAAGTACAAAAATTGACCGGATAACTGTGGGACTTAGTTTCAAAAATTTCTTATAATACTCGCAATGAAATCAAATAATGGTGTGTACACTTGTCAAACGCAGGCTAAAAGCAGCTGTAATACATTCTAACGAAAAGCTAAAGCAAAACGAAGAAGAATTACATGTCTATTTGAAAAAATAAATAATTGATCGTTGAAGAAATTAGCATCATTTTGATTTTAAGATGACGTGTATACTCGTCGAGCGCAGTTAACCGGTTAACTGGTTAAAAATTCCACTGAAGTTCAATAATTCTTTAAATGGTGCTTTAAAGGGTGCTTAATTTTCTTTATAAAAACGAAAACTCAGTGTTCCATTGGAATTCAATGATTCACATTGTTCAAACTGTAGGGAAAGCGCGATGTACATGCGCGGACAGCTTCGATTGTAAGTTATACGATGGGATTGGATAGGGGGGATGAAATAAAGATAAGAGGCTACTCCGAAAATCGTCCGGTAACAAAGATCATGGAGTGCGTTCCCTGGTGATTTGAATAAAATAAGTCTCACAGTATCGCATTTGCTCTTTAGCAAGAGCATCAAAGATGATAAATAGGAGAGCAGCGAGGAGAAATAAATACAGAATGCTGGAGGATAAACAGATTTGTTTCATTGTTTCCGGTTAGGAGGAGCTGGGGATGAAAATAATATCAAATTCGAATGTGACGGTCCCTTTTATTCGTTCCTCGCGAACCGGTAAACGATAGGAATTGGGGTTTTGCCCTTTCTTTTCGTTCCCCTTTTTCTTCCTTCTTTTCGGTCTTGCCGTTCGTTGCGCAATAGGACGTTGTCGCACAGAAGTTGACGTTCTCCTCCCTCTTTGTTTCAGGTCCCTGCATCCTCCAGAATAAACACAGAGGGTCGCGCCGAGGCAACAGGGATGAAAGGATTTCTTCGACTGTGCCGGGAAAGGGTAAGACGAACGCGGAATGTTGTATCGTGCCTCGAAACAGTCCTTTACATCGTTTTATCGCATCTAAAAGGGATTGCCGGGGAACACGAGATAGAAAATACAGATGTATTATAATCGCTTTCTGCGGAAGCATTTTACAACACACAAAGAAACAATTCAGGTGTTTTATCGATTCCGCATTAAGGAACATTATGGCGGTGGCTAACGAAGCTAATTAGAGTTGCGGAAAGTGCTTCATTATTATAATTCAAACGCGCATTCACCATGGAGCATTGTATTTACTGTGGAGAAGCTTTTATTTCAGATTAAAATAATGAAGGAAAAATAATTACTTTGGTGTCAATAATTCATTAATTTATTTGGTAGTGTTATTTTTTGAAAGAAGTTATTGTTAAACAATATGCTTGCTAAATATTTACCTGTTTCGAGTAGTAATATCAAGTAACGAGTATTAACATGATAACAAACATTTTTACTTTCCTGGTGAATTTTAATAACAAATATGTAAATCTCATGTGAAGTAGCTATTATTAAAGTCATTTACTTTTCAAGTAAATTATCAGTCACTTAACGTAAAACTAAGAAGATACAGTAGCAAAGAAAGTAATTTTAATTTCGAAATTTCTCTTGTACTGATTTCAGTGTTTAAAAAAGATTGATGTTGACAAGAGATCTGCTGTAAATTATTATTCGTGATTCTCAAAAAATTCTACCAGTGACAGTATTAAAAAGAGATGAAGTATGTTCCAGATTTTTCACGTTCCAAAAAATAAAAAATGATTTAGTTCCAGTAATTTAATTGAAAACTGATAGAAGAATGATAAAAAATTTAATTAAATGCGCATACTCGACTTCTCTCAGCAACTCATCCGAATTTCAACATCGAAACTTCGTCATTCAAAATAAATAACACCGAAGTGTCGTTACGAAACGAGTTATTATAGAATATTTTAACAAACTATCACCGATTTTCATGGGTATCACGTTTTGACAGTCACAAATTTCGAAACTGAGATAAAACATTATGCTGGAAATAATCTAAGAAGATGGAAATTCTATGAAAATTTCCATCTTATTCGTTCCCGAAGATTTTCGTATGCCATAAATACATAAAAATCCACAGTCCAGTTATAGCCGCGTTCATACGCTCGCATCAAGCGCATTTTATACGACTTCCCCGTCATTTCTCGGCTAAATGACCGTAGTATATTTTATTCCTTAGAACGTGTGGGATCGCTCCATAAAAAGAATATCCGGTTCCTAAACCGAGCCAAAAATTTTAACGCCGTATTTTCATCAAAATGCGACGGGTGTTCGGCTAAGGGGACTGTTAACTCCAATAATGAAAAGATATATTTAAGAAGAAATGTTAAGTGGGCAGCATATTTGTGTACTGGAAAATACGATAAAACGGGACAGTAATGTTTTTCATACATAAAGAGCTTGTATCGAGTTTATATCATATAACATGGATCTAATAAGTCCTCGATGTAGTTTGAGATCGACTGTACAGCAGCGCCTGAGTTATTTTTCGATGAAAAGCATTGGAAAGATACTCAGTGAACAAGTTTTGATGTTACATAAATGTGTGAAGCATTTTTTTTATCTCTCAATTAAAACATTAAACAAAATAACTACAGTACTTGATTCTATGTTTCTTAAGCTGTATTTTTGACACTTAAGTTATTTCTTTATCTCGTGTCAAACTAAATTAATAAATAAATTAAGTACATTTTTAGTACTTCTCTAAATCATGTTGCGTAGGACAAAACGGAACACTTTAGCGCAGAGGCAACAAGGGTCCCTTGTTATGTGTTTTGTTTACAGTCTTAATTGGTTACGTATAATCGTATTAATGTATAGCATATTAGAATCGAAGATGAGATAAAAGCTGACCAATTAGATTGCACCAGTGCGGAGAAAGAAGACGACACATTGATTTGTGATTTTTATTCATAAAATCATATATATTTATAGTTTATTTATATCAACTAACAATTAAATATATTCAGCTAGCAAAGTTGATCTAGTAGAAATAACGATTCTGTATTTTTATATGGTTTTACATGAGTTCCGTATTACTCTACCATTTTGCGAAGGAGATATTTTAATACCTATACAAAATCGTATTTTCCTTCGTAACAAAATATTTTTATTACAAAAATCTTTCATATGTTTCATAAGTTTTGTCGTTTGTTTAGAGGAAATTCAATTGATATACTTTAAATAATAGAAAAAAAATATCGGCTATTGTTTTTTATAATCTTCATCCATCTATTACCTAGATCATATATGCCTGATGTAAAGAAAACTTTATCCTTTGGCCATGAAAAAAGTAATTAAAACCGTCTTTGGACCGTGCACATTTCAACTGTAGATGGTCCGAAAAACATAAATTTGTATGAGCCTCCATGGCGTTATTACCAAGTTGGAACTCATAAAGCATATAGTAACGAAAATGAATTTTATCTTCAGTCATAATAAATATTTATTATTCAACATTTAAAAATCAAAAGACGATTCCATTTTAAAAATTCAAAATCAAAAATATTAACTTTCGATTGCTACCAAAATCATCTGTACCATACAACGAACAACGAAAGAATAAGCGTGTTAAGTGAAATAACTGAAAAACGACTGAACTTTCTTGCCAAGCTAATAAATTTTATACGCGATACGCCTCAAGGCAGGTATGGGATTTAGAGGATTAACACTGTGTGGTGTTAACATAGTAACGGATTAGATCCTTTGAGCATAAAGACTTGATCGTCGATAGCTCTTAACCATTTGCATCATAATGAAGTGTGAAAAGAGATGCCCTTGTCACCAACTTCAAAAAAAGTTTATTTAAATAGAAAAATTACAACGGATAAAAAGAACTATCTTGTAAGTCAGTAATTTCAAAACTCTACGTTACTACGTCCCGTTTAAAAAAATCTAATCTTGACGCCCCCTGTATTT